CAAGACACAAACCATCAATATCAGAAATGAACCAGGGGCTATCACTACAGACCCCATAGACTTCAAAAGGTTCACAAGGGAATCATTCAACCCCCACGCACTCAATAATGTGCATGAAATGAACCAGTTCTCCAAAAGGCATAAACTGCCACACTCCACCTCATCTGAAATCAATACTACGAACAGTTCTCTAACTATTATCAAATTGAATTTGTAATTTCAAAACTCACAAATAAGAAGTCTCTAGGTGCTGGTGTAGAGAATTAATTTCACAGTGAAATTAATACCAGCTCTATCTGAAAACTGAACAAAAGAGAGTGTTTTATGTACCCAGATACCATCCTGACATCTATAGTGTGAAGAGAGTCAAGCAGAAAACAACACCCTTCGTGAATCTAGACACAAACCCTTGGCAAAGCATTATTAATGAAATAGTAAGACATTAAAAAAAATCACACACCATGACCAAGGGTTTGTGATATATCCAATGTGCTCTACCACATTAACAGAGTAAAGAAGGAGGCCATGTAGTTATAGCCAAGGTCCATTACTGAAAGAAAAAACCTCCTCATCTCAGTGTGACAAGTGCCATTCATAATGCTACAAAGTAAACATTAGCCAGCAAGATGAACTAGCGAGGGAGAGGGAGGTGTCCATTGCTCTGAACCAATACCTCTCAAGCTTCAGCCAGTGAACTAAAGTGGGAAAAGAAATGATACAAAATACAGACAACAGAAAGACACACAGACAGCAAAGGAAGAACTAAAAGCGTACCCATTGGCAGGGGGCACAACTGTTTAGGTATAAAGTCCTAAAAAATTAAACAAACAGCAACAGCAAAAAAACCCTTTAGGATAAGAAGTTCCGCAGGCACAAGATGAACATACAAACATTAATTATGTGTCTATGCTGCCTGTGAATTCCATCAAAATTCAAATTACAATGTCATTTATACTCAAAACTACTTACACAAAACTCTAACAAAACATGCCAAGGCCTCAGAGATTGCATCTTACAGAACATTGACAAAATAACTCAAAGAAAATATAAATAATAAAAAGACTTATTGGGTCCCTGGATTAGAAGATTCAACCTAGCAAAAATTTCAATTATCCCCCTAATTGGTATAAAGATGTAGATCAGATATTATAAAATTCAAGTAAGAATTTCTTAACATCTAAAAGGACAATAAAAAAGGAAAACACTGACATACATGGTTTGAAAACTCATTGTAGAGCCATGGTAACCAAGGCTGTGCTTTCAAGAGAATAGATATACTGGTCAATGACGTCATCCTAACACAAAGTAGAAACAGGCCTGTATAAAGAGCCCAGCTAAGACAAGGTCTCAGTGTGTAGAAAAGACTGGTCTCAAGTCACAGCAATCCACCTGCCTCTGTCTCCCTGGTGCAGGGTTAAATGTGTGTGCCACCACACCCCAGTTGATTTTTGACAAGGCAGTTCAGTGCAGAAAAGCCTAGCTTTGCCACACATGGCACTGAGGTATCAGCTCTTTGTAATGAGGAATCAATTCTTGTGCACAAAAGCAGGCAGAGAAATTCCAGTCTGAGCTTACTTAGTTAGACAAAATGAACTCAAACTGGGAAATGAGCTTAAGCACAGATGGTGAAACTTGGAGGGAAAGGGACCAGGGGAAACCCTTCACATCTAAGATGGGAGTCACTCACACAGCAGGGACTATGAGATAAGGTTAGACCTTTGCTAGGTTAGACCTCAACAAAATTAAAATTCTTTGTTCTGTAAATGCCTCTGCTTATAAAAGGAGAAGAAAACCAGAACCACATACATGGGAAAAATAGCTACAATTAACAGAGCTACCAAAGGACTCATGTCTAGAATATATAAAGAGCTATGAAAACTTAACTGTGAAAAAATCAATTATTAATCCAGATAGAAAATTAGTGAAAAGCATAACAGACAGGTCTCTAAAGATGTACTCATGGCAGCCAGCTCATGAACGTTCTAGAAAACCATGCGGTTGTTACAAACGTGCAGTTAGCTACCTTCTCCTGCATAACACTACTGCTTCCCAAAGAGAAGATAGCAGACTCTCACCAAAGCCTGCAACACACATGTTATCCCAGCTCCATTCTCCACAGCCCAAGACAGTAGCCCATTTGATCTTCCCCAGACACATGTCTAAGCTAACTGTGCATATCTGTGTCACAGAATCTTACTCAGTAATAAGAAGACAGACTGGAGATTGGGAGGTATCACAATTGGTTAAGCACCTGCCGGGCAAGCACGAGGATTCTAAACCCCAATTGAAGAAAGATGGGCATGGTGATACACACTTATAACCCTATCACCAGAGAGGCAAAGACAAGAGAGTCCCTGGGGCTCATTCATCAACTATCTTAATCTACTTGGCAGGTTCTAAGCATGAACATGACACTTCCCACAGCCCCAACACCTGCACATGCAGGAGCACACACACCAAAATAAATCTAAAGCAGAAATAAAAAATAAGAGAATGAAATAAAAGTTGGGTGAATCTCCAGAGAATTAGGCTACACAGTATGCAACCTTCTTTATAAAATATTCTTTTAAAAATTTTATGAAGTAGAATTGGAAGTTAAATGCATTAATTTGCTGTGCATTTGTTTATCTTGTGTGCATATGTGCAGGTCTACGGGTATGAACATGGCACATCATAAATGTGGAGGCCAGAGGAAAATCTCCTTCTTCCATGGGGGTCCCAGGCACCAAAATCTGTTATCAAGTTTGGCAGCAAGTACCTTTACCTGCTGGGTCATCCCACACCCCTGTATAAAGCATTCCTAAAGTGGAAAACTGTGGGGCAAGGGAACAGAAGAATGGTTACTGAGGTGGGGAGAAGGGCAGGGGATGGAACGGCAGAGTAGAGTCAGTTGGCCACCAGTGGGGTCAGTTGGCCACCAGCGGGGTCAGTTGGCCACCAGCGGAGTCAGTTGGCCACCAGCGGGACCTTGACATGGCCAGCGGGGAAACTGGATGAAGTACACAAAGGGAGTCTGCTCATTTCTCACAAGTCTGCAATTACTTCCATAAAAGACTAATTCATTAAGATAAAAGCAAGTTAATAAATAGAGTCAAAATGAAAAGCCCATGCTGTGTAGTCGAATGAGCACAGAGTATTAACTGAGCACCTTCAGCCATGTGTCCCACTGACTGGCTCTGACCAACCGTTTTCTGTACCATAGGCTGGTTTACAGACCAGACTGTCCTGGAACTTCCAGTGATGTTCCTTTCTGAAGCTCCCAAGTCAGAACGACTGGCAAAATTCATATCCCACTAATAGTCTTCTTAATTCTAGCTCACTTTACTTTCTTCTGAGCTTCCTTATATTGGAAGGAAATACACATTACTACCACACATGGAAGTGCTTCAGTGTGGCTGTGAGCTGCAGACCATCACAACTGTCCTCTGGTGTGAAGGGGACACTCAAGGCCTTGCCTGGGGTAGTCACCCATTGCCTGATCTGCACTGTAGACCTGCTGAGAAATATAGACACTTCTGTCCCAAGACCAGCTGTTTGCCACTCCCGTGCTCCAGGGTGACAGAGTCCTGAGACCCCAGAGATAATCCCTGTTCTTGCATCTTTCCTACCTACGGACCTCAGACTTCTGTTCTCTGGGGTGTTTGCCGTGTCTCACAATAGGTTCTCGGGCCTTTGTTCACAGGGTCGGGTTAGACAGCAGCTGTGACTGACCACCCAAGCTCACTCCCCCTCGGCTTGCCCCTGCATCAAGCCAAGGCCTTCTCACCTTCCTTTTCCAGGCCTGGATCTGTGTACACAATGTTTGTGGCCTCTGCCAGGGGAAAGGTGTCTCTGGCTGGTGACCCCTGGCCCCTCACCGTGAGCTCATTTCCCCCAGGCAGCTGTGCAGCAGACACTGGGGCCCTTTTGGGTAACCCTGAAAGCATGGGGCTCCTCCTTTGTGGCCATCCCTCCCCTGGCTGCCCAGCCAAGTGCCAAAGGAAACCAGATTCACACCCTGGTCTTGGAGTCTCCTTGCAGAACCTGAGATGGCTCCGAACTCAAGGTCCTGCTCTGATTGCATTCACCTGTGATCCCAAACTTGCTCTTCACAGGGATAATGGGTAGGGTGTCTAGGGCCCACAGCACTATTTTAAACCAGTCCAAACATTTACTCTGCCTGCTGGGAGCTCACTGCACCTCTCTCAGTCACATCCTGTCCTTTGCTTGGTCAGCAGTTGGAGTTAGCATCTTGGCCTTAAACTATGCACTTTCTCCAAGGAGAGGAGAGGTTTGTTATCCTCAGACCTGCTTCCCAGGCTTATCTGAGATTCCCTCCAACTCAGCCATCTGAAAGTCTGGGAAGCCAAGCCTGTGAAAGCCTCACTGAAAAATGGTTCTGCTGGGTGGTTGATGGGAATGCCTGTAAATACTGTTACTATCAGATACTTGGATTCTTAGGGGTGGATGTGGGGGTGTGAGGTGTGTATATATGGGTGTACTTTACAAACTCTTAGGCTAATATATGTTTCTAGCCAATTCACGTCTTTGGTTTAATTAGGCCACTTTTGGTGAGGGCCAGCTAATAAAACAATGTGTCTATTAATCTTTAAAACTGCAGATCACTTTCCTTCATGTATATGAGTATTTTGCCTGTATGTCCATATGTGTACCGTATGTGTGCCTAATTTCCAAGGAGGAGAGAAGAGGGCATTGGATCACTTGGGACAGGAGTCCCGGGTGGCTAGTATCCTCCCTCTTGGTCCTGGGAATCCAACACAGGTCTTCTGCAGGAGTGACACTGCTCTTAACTGCTGAGACCTCTCTCCAGCCCCCTATTTGTCTTTTCCTGCTCAGCAGAACATCAGCCGTGGGCCTGGCTTCTGACAACCATTATGAGTTGTAGTAAATATGTTGAGAGATGCAGCGGTGGAGGTAAGCACACCGGAGGCAAAGGAGCTTGCTGTTTAAAAACACTGCGAGCAGCTTCCATGTGTTGATGCCCTTTAACTCCCACGTACCTTTACGAAGGATGGTGAGGTCTCAGCCAGTGAATCTCTGCTCTAAAGCCAGGTGGCCCAGGCCAGTCCTGAGAGATACAGTCACAGGTCCATGGAGGTGAAGGGAGCCTAGAAGCTTGCTCGTTTGCTTGCTCTCTCTCTTCCCCCTCCCCCACTCATCTTCTGGGGAAGTTGCTACTCTGCCAGGGAGGTATCTTGTCACTCTCGATTGGTGCCTGATGCACAAGCAGTCTCAGCACAGAAAGACGCCCTGCACACACCCCACACACACCTCAGCAAAGAGGAGGAAAGAGAACAAGACGCTGCCCCAGAAGCTGGCGGCTGAGTCAACTCCATGTATCTCTGAAGAAAGCAAATAAAGCATCTTGAGAAGCCTGGAGGACACTCCAGTGGAGATGAGGCTCGGTCTGCCTCAGAAAAAGGAAGTAAATTGTTTTCTGTGCTTTACTTAACGCGGCAGTGGCAACACTTAGAAAACAGGAAGCAGAGACTTCAAACATCTCCTCTCCGGGGACCGTAACTATTGATCTGGAAACTCAAGAGGCCCTGAAAGTGCCAGTGCAACATTCGAGACTATAGATGAGTTTGTTCTGGGGCTGAGTGAGAGCCAGGGCGTTGGTCTTCCTGGAGATGGTGCCCGACATGAGCATCCTCAAGGCTCAGTGTGAGTACTTCCACTGCAGACGACCGTGGCAGGGAGCACGAGCGGGGAGCATCCCTTCATCCCTGGAGTGTCATTTTCAGCTAAAATGCTGTGAAGTTGTTCAATATGGTTATGTTTGCAGTCATTTTCATCTTAGACTATTGCACCAAAATGATCTCCCTCCAGAGGAGTTTCTTCCTCTGCTCTCTCTGACCATGGCAGTGGCAAAGCAGTGATTACTGTACTGGCCTTCAAACAACAGTTTCTCTAGGTGCAATCTGGAAAGCAGAGAAGGGTCTAGTCAAAAGAAAAGGTCCTAAGACATGGCCGGCCAGAAGCCCTACTGGCTGTGGGCTCCTGCAGGCTGATTGATCATGACTTGGAAACTCAATGACGGCCACAGATTCGCTCCATTTTGATTGACATCAGTTGTTTCCAGGTGGTTGGAAGCTTCAGCCTGGCTCTCAGCTAGATCAGGAGGGGGATGTGTCCTCTGGGCTTTGGAAGGATCAGACGGAGCAAATTCCCATGACCTCTTGCCTGAGCCATGCAAGTCACCACAGGTATAAGAAGCCTCGGAAACATGAAACTGGGGAAGGAACGACGCCGCAGGGCCAGGTTTAGTACCCAGCAAGCACAGGGCCTTGCTGCAGCCACAGTATGTCTCACAAGGGCCTCCAGCGCCTCCTCTGCAGCACATGAGGAAGCTACCAGTCTCTTGCGTCAGCATCCCCTCTGATTTATTGGGACTCACTATAGCGTATGTGTGTGTGTCCAAGTGTATTTGCATGTGTTCATGGTGTGTATGTGTACATGGTGCAAATGCTTGTATGAGGTATTGTGCATCTGTAGCCCCAGCACTCAAGGAGGGAGGCAGGAGGAGACATCAGGGTCATTCTCATCTACAGTGGGACTTTGAAGTCAACTTGAAACACATGAGATGCCATCAAAAAAAAAAACCCTGATAAAACAATAAAAACGAAAGGGTGAGCTGTGTGGTATGCGAATCCTATCAAAGCATGAAGAAATTCTGCTAAGATCACAACAGGGCTGGTCCACAACATGCAGCCGGCACCCAAGCAGCTTTGATGGCCGTAGTCATCAAAGAAAACCAACCAGAACACTTCAGAGCTAACTTGCTTTCTGAGGTCATTTCCCCAGCTCACATAAGAATAAAGGATTCTTATTTTCTCAAATAAGAAATCAACAAGAGGTAGGAAATAGACAAGAGTCCCAGGTAACCTCGGGTGCATGGGGGGGCGCGCCCGCCGGGTTGTTGGAAGGGGAGAGGGTTAGAGAGAAGGGAGTAGGGGAGGAATGGGGAAAGCTCGGTGGCCTGGGAGGGGGAGAGTGAGGAAGGATGAATATGGGATCAGGGAAGATTATATTTCAAATAAGGGAGTCATTTTAGGGTTTACAGGAGACTTGATTATATATGGGATCCCAGGTCCAAGGAGAGATCCCCAGATTGTTCTCTGGACAGAGGAGAGGGTGCCTGAACCGGCCGTGGCCCATAACCATACTGATATATATTTTGCTTATCACCACAGATCCTTCATCTGGCGAAGGACGGCGATACAGACGGAGACCCACATTGGAGCACCAGACTGAGCTCCCCAAGGTCCAAATGAGGAGCAGAAGGAGGAAGAACATGAAAAAGAAAATCAGGACTGCGAGGGATGCTATCACCCACTGATACAAGGGAACGGATCTAATGAGAGTTTACCAAGGCCAGTTGGACTGGGACTGAACGAGGACGTGATCTAACCAGATTCTCGGAATTTGGCCGGATTCTCTGAATGTGGCTGGCCCGAAGTCTTTCTGAAAAGCCATTGACTATGATACTGGGACTTGTTTCCTCTGCATATACTGGATTTTTGGGATCCAGTCTGTTTGGATACTCACCTGCCTGGACCTGGAGGGAGGGGGGAGGAACTTGAACTTCCCACAGGGCAGGAAACCCTGACTGCCCTAAGGGATGAAGAGGGAGGAGGAGAGGGAGTGGGGGGAGTGGGAGGGTGTTGGGAAGAGGGGCGGAAATGGAAACTTTTATAATTTAATAAAATTTACTCTCAAAAAAAAAAAAAAAAGAAATCAACAAGAAAGATAAATTGCTCCATACTAGGATCAAGGCTCTTTGGGCAGATTGCAGTTCATATAGACTGCCTTTAAAGGTAAAACACTCTAATACAGCCAAGTGACTGGGACACAGACTACGAGAGGACCCCAGAAGCCCGTGCTCAAGGGCCACAGCTGGAAGGGCACTCTCAGGGTCCTGGCTTTGCTGCTGTCATGTCATGGCTCCTTGGTCCCTGTAGGCAGCTGTGTTGGGAGCAACAATGGGCTACCTTGTCTTTGGGAGCTCGGGGTTCAATTGCAGGGCTTCCCTAATCCCACATGACAGACGCCGAGCGTGGGTATTCAAGATGGAATCACAAAGCAGAGCGAGGTGCAAGGCTTCTGGTGTTCCCGTGAGTCACATCCGTGGTCTGTGCTCTGTGCAGGAGCCAGGGCCCCGTCACCACCCACATCTCTCTGTGCTCTTTGAAGGACCAAATTCACGACTCTCAAAGTATGTGCTGACCAGAAGAGTGGAGTCGGGCAGTGTTCTCACTTGTTCAGTGCTGATGTTTAAACCACAGGACACAATCTGAGAAGCGCTGGCACCCCACACCCAGCTGTGAGAAACAGCTGTTCACTGTCTTCAGGATGGCCAGCAGCTGACTCTGGGTTCCCACCCCTTCTCTAGCTTATTAACCCCATGTTCTGTCAGAGATTTGAGCATCCACCTCACACAGAGGGTTACCCGTTCAGCTCTGGGTCCCCAGTACCCTTTCAGAGAACAAACTTAACTCTCAGGCGACATCCACTGCTGAATGATGCTGGGGAAAAGCTCCTTTCCCTGACATGACTAGGAGACACTTAAAACACACGCCAGGTGGAAACTCTGCATAGTGGGAGACCTCAAAGGCTTCAAAAATAAGAAAAAAAAAACCCAGTCAGGAAACAAAGAGAAGAGCTGTCACACCCCATATTAGGCTTCTCGGTGGGGTTTAACAACACCCTGCTTTGTAAACACATATACCAGGGCTTCACATTGAGCTGGAGCCCTATGGGGGTCCGGTCCCCCTGACAGCCTCTGTGGGGTTCCTTCCAGTGTCAAAAGCAGGGACTAATCACCACCCTTGTGTCCTGAGAAAAAACAGGCTGTGCATGTGGAGTCTCTTTTTGGAGGAGCCCTCACAGATGTGCGGCAGCGTGCCGAGGGCTGTTGTTCTGCCAGCACACACAGAAAAGTGCCTCTCCCCAAGTGTAATTGGACCAGCACCCCATGCAATTACCTGTCTGCACGTCCTCTGGCCAGGTAAATGATGTTTTTATCTAAAGCGTGATGCATGCAGCCAGTTTTTGATTACCCGTGGTAATGGTGGTCAAGGGTCAGCTGGATCATTGGAACAGAACCTTTATTCCGCCTGGAAGTTTCTCTCTGTTCCCTACCCCCTTCCTCCCATGGCTCCCCAGCTGGGGTGTGGGTCCTCATGGAGCACTTAGGCAACACCAAAGTGAGATCAAAGGGACGCAGTGCCTCAAATCCAATCCCAGCGCAGCCAGGACAGGGCTCTGACCTTGCAGAATGACAAGGTAGCAGCCCAGCCTCCCAGTGGATCTGTGAAGGCAATAAATGTCCCGTTCTAAAAGCTCACTCCCTCTGACTTCTTATTTGTGTGCAGGAAACCTTTATTCCTGCCGACTTGCTTTTATCATTTAATTTGTCCCAAGCTGTACTTTATAATAATGTATTTTAGTTATATCCATTGAGATATTCCATAATCATGGCGGGGTATGTGTGTGTAGGAGCACACACACTCACCTGCACATGTAGATGACAGAAGTTGACACTGTGTGTCTTCCTCAACAGCTCTCAACCTTGTTTTCGGAGACAGGGTCTCTCGCTGAACCTGGAGGTCACTGCAGCAGCTAGTCTGACTGGCCAACAAGCTCTGGGGACCTGTCTCGCTGGGACGCAGACACACGCCACTATGCCTGGCATTTGCATGGGTGCTGGGGATCCGAACGCAGGCCTTTGCACTTAGAAGTGAATCTCTTAATCCACCAAGCCATCTCTCCCCAGCCCTATGTAGTACACTTCTTTTAAAGAGTCGTGTTGTTTGGGCCTAAGAGATGTCTCAGTGTTTAAGAGCACTGGCTGTTCTTCCAAAGGACTCAGGTCTGATTCCCAGCACCTGCCTGACAACTCACAACTGTCTGGAACTTCATTTTCAGGGGATCTTATGCACTCAATACAGGCATTAGAAGGCAAACAAAACACCAATGCAAATAAAATAAAATACATATTAAAAAAAAGAGAGCTGTGCTATAAAAGGCGCCGGCAAGCACAGCTTGAAGTGTGAGCTGGAGGGTCGTATCCAGGAGACAGGGAGACGTGGGAGACGGCTGGCCTCAGTCTTAGCGTCTCTCAGCTACGGCCAATGGCACATGAGGGTCACAGTGTCCAGGGGAAAAAGGACACTTGTGGTAAGTTTGCAAACTGTCTACAAATCTAAAACAATTCCAAAATAAGTTCAAAGGCTACAATAATTTTATATTTAACAATACATATTTAATAGTCATTTAGTAATGTGTTTATTGTTAATAATAATTATCATTATTAATAGATGTCCCTTCTAAAGTTAAAAAGAGAAGTTACAAAAAGAAAAAATAAAAATTTACCCAGTACCCAGAGAGCTTTACAGACCAACCTTGGGGGAATGTTAGACCAGA